AAAAAATTCAAATAAATTTTTTGAATTGTAACTAGATTTTGAGTTGAAACTCAAGGTGTGACAAAATTCTTGTTTCGCAGGCTTGATATGATCCCAAAATGCGAAAAACCACGGGCTCATGAACAATAGTTGATTTATTTAAATTAGATTTTGTCTAGAACTATTAAACAACGAGTCAGATTGTGAGCTCCACTTATCAAAGTTTAGTAGAAAATTTTTTTATATGTTTGCCTTAGTCTATCTCGTTAAAGCTCGAATTTGATTTATTGCAATTGTCTAACGAGTCTAGTCGAATTTAAACTTGTTTATTTGTTCGCTAATTCGTTCCACTCAATAAAAGTTCGAATATCAAAACCTCGAGGTCTATGCAGCTTAGTGACACCTCTCGATTTGTGAACAACAAATGATTTGTGTAAATTAAGTCGCATAAATTTTTCTATTCTTATTAAGCAATTTTCCTATTTTATTATTATTAAGCAAACTAGTTTGGATCTCGTGCAGTGCATGGGGTGGATAATTTAAGGCTATTTGCTAAGCCTTTTTTATATTTACGTGAATAAACATAATTAAACAAAATAGAATAATAAGAGCATTATAACATTGCTTGAACTGCCTCCCCATAGCTTAGTTCGTCAAAGATAAATAATCAACACTAGTAGTTGACACTCATTTCCGTATTCACTTTTAATTTACAAAATCGGTCAATGTAATCCCTCAAAGTGTGCAATCAATCTTGTTCCTTCCAAATAATTGTCTAAATAAATGATTAATACGATTTTTACACAGTAATATAATAAAGTTAAATAAAATAAGTCCTTACTCTAGGTCTATGAGAGTAAACACAATTATTTGTGTTGGACGTCATCAACCTCTTTCACTTGGACGAATAAATTTCAACCACCGGATCAATTACATCTACAAATAAATTGTACATTTCAACGTGAGTTTAGCTCAACCAAACAAACTTTAGTATTGATTTGATATAAAAACTATATTTTATCCCAGAATAATTTCAAAAATATAACATACATCTATACATTTCAACCTGAATTTAGCTCAACTAAACATACTTTAAGTGTTAATTTGATATAACAATTACAATTTATCCATCTAGTTACGACTTATCACATTAAAATTGAAAATGAGACAACTAATTTCAGCCAAAAAATATTCATTCACTTTATTTTCTCAACAACTAGTATGTAGCTCGTGCGATGCACGAGACAATAATTATAATTGAATGTATTAAAACAATGAACCAATATAATCAATATAAAAATAGTTTTAAAGATTAATGAATATTTTTTATTTTATTGTATGATATATAATAATTTAATATAATTTATATGTTTATTTCACTCGTTATAAAATAGTTTTTATTTTAGATCATGTTTATAATTAAGGATAATGAAAATTTAATATATTCAATATTATCAATAAATGATACTCATAGAATATTCTCTCTCTATCTTCTCTTACTCATACCTTGTTATAATATATTATTCTCTTACTCCTTATTTGTACCTTTATTATTTGTACCTTTATTAGTACTTGGTGTCCTTTTTTATTAGTACTTGGTGTCTTTTTTAGTTGAAGTTCTAAGCCATCTGTGGATGTGCTTCTCATTCTAGATTTCAGATTAGTTGTTGAGATGTATTTGTATCAGACTCTATTTTCTTGAGTTATATAGTAATCTCTATCGTTTCGGAGGAAAAAAAAATTGTGGCAAATATATAAACAACACTTAATTTAAAAACATACCCTACCTTAATTTTATTTAATCAGTTTTACTATATTATAACATCATAATTAACAGAAAATTTATTATGCTTTTACCAGACATGTTAAAATATGCTGATTTACTGTACCGCATGCAAACATCTGAGATAAAATTGAGGTTCTTGATAAGCGAAAATATTATGTTAGACATACTATTGATGCACAATGTGTTAAGTTATGATAATTCTTCGGTCTGATTAACTATTTTTTTTAGTTATGTGTTTGTATGTTTGAAATCGAGATCATATGTGGTTTTGTGAATAAAAGGAAGGACAAAATCGGACAATTAGATCGGGCAAAAGGAACAAAGACTTAAACTGCAGGTAATTAACAATAATGTTGCGATAACTGTATCAAAATTATACAAAAACATAAAGTCCATATACAGTCCTACTAAATACATGCATTGTTATCAAATGAAAAACTTGAACACATAATTTTTTTTATCTGTATTAACACATTGTAA